GGGCTGCCTTCCTTTGGGATCAGGAACTTTAGTCAGACTTCATAAGGCTAAATCAATCCCTTAAGAAAAAAGAAAACAAATAAAACCTTGGGGTTTGTTAATCCACGTTGCTGAGCGGGCAGAGCGGGTCTAACTAAGGCCTGGCCCCAGGGCATTTCTTGCTCCAGGTTGGTCCCACTCGGAGCCATTCATAACGTTAACCAGGAAAAATGTACCGAGGAGGGCCAGGCTGGAAGCTCCGAGAAGGAATCCAACCCAAGAGCGTCTTCTGCAGGGGTTGGAGTTTCAGGAACGCGTGTCATGCAGCTATTTGCAAAGCTCTCTCTGCTCCCCGGGCTCCTACTGTCTCCTGTTTGCTCCAGGCCCGGCAACTTCACCATCTGTGGTTGGCTTGGCCGGCTCACAAAGGAGCATCCCAAGGATGGGGGCCAGGCTTTGGGCCTCCTGCTATTGTACCAGTGCCTCTTCTTAAGGATTAGCAGCTTCTATCTACCCCTTGGGGCTGCACTGTAAATGCCTGTGTAATGCTAATTTGTGGTTGGCAGGAGATTGATTGGGAAGGAGCTGAACAATGACAAGAGGTGGCTGAGCTCCCTCCTTCTCCTGGAGGGATTGTGTGTGTGTGTGTGTGTGTGTGTGTGTGTGTGTGTGTCTGCTAGGAGGCATGTAGCAACAAAGGCACAGAGAAGATGATTCAAAGAGAGGATGAGAAGTGCACAAGCACAAATTCAGAGGATTTTTTGATAGGAGTGGCAACCCATCCCCTTTTGCCATATTCGATTTGTCTTTAGCAAGTCACCGGGTCTAGCCCACACGTAAAGGGAAGGATTACTTATAGGAGGCAAGAATCATGAGCGCCATTTCAGAAGCTGCCAGGACACTTAGAAAGATCCCAGCAAATGCCTGTGACAAAGTGCTTAGGAAAAGATATTGTTCCTTGGTCTAGTGCAGGGGTGGGCAAACTTTTTGACTCGAGGGCCACAATGGGTTCTTAAACTGGACCGGAGGGCCGGAACAAAAGCATGGATGGAGTGTTTGTGTGAACTAATATAAATTCAAAGTAAACATCATTACATAAAAGGGTACGGTCTTTTTTTTTTTTTTTAGTTTTATTCATTTCAAATGGGCTGGATCCGGCCCGCAAGCCATAGTTTGCCCACGGCTGGGTGACATGGTCTGGGATGTGCGCTGGTTTCCCCTCAGTGGCCCTGGTCTCTGCTGTCCCATCTTCACCCCTGTTGAAACTGCTGGGTGTTCTCTGAAGGTATTTCCCTGCACTCTCTGGGTGTGGGCGGCAGACAGAAGATGGATACTAACTCACGCTCACACTGTCTTCCTAACAGCTTCTTCATGAACGTGTGTGGTCTTGCATTGTGGTCAGCGTACAGATAGTTTAATTTCCTGCTCACCTGCTCGGTGGAGGCTCTGATTTCTTCTTGCATTTTTTTCCTTGGGCAGCCTGTGGGCAGGTATTTCTGTCTGACCATCTGGGAGCCATTCACCTTTCTGGTGGCCTGAGAAAGGAATTAATTTCACTTGTTTCTTTAGCCCTATCTGCCTTCTGTGATGGCAAGTTTACCTTTATCACCTCTTAAAATTCTTATGACAAACGAGGACGTTGGTCCTTCAGGTTATCTGCCAGGATTCTTTAGGTTCCCCAGCTTTGTGCAATGGCAGCTCCTCCTTTGGTTTTGCTCCTCGGGTCTTTCTTTTGCACGAAGGCTTTAAACATCCTAGATATACTTCCACATCTGTACCTCCCCACCCACGGCCCACATTGGTGAATTCAGCGGGACTACACCAAGCCTAAAGTACTCAGAAAACAGCAACTGAAAGAGAAAAATCTGACCCCTGCCCTCACCCTGTCCCTTTGGAGACTCCTGAGGCCTTTGGCCTCCTAATTCTGGGGGGGGGGGTAATTTGGGGAGAGCAGGGTATGGGAAGATAGAGGAAATTCCTGGACAAGAATGAGGTGGGTCGGGCCTCTTTATCCTGTGCCAGCTCTATGGCTCGAGGGCCTACTTGTCTCCCCTAAGGCCTCCAGAAGGTGGAGAAATCCTGGATTGAAATCCCCCTACCAGATGGGGCATCAGGGGCTTCTCTTCCAGAGTCTCAGCTCAGCCCACCACGCGCTGCTGGATTTTTGTTGGAAGGAGTGTTGAAGAGGCAGTGGTCATACACTGGGTGATCTGGCCCTAGAAAAAGGCACTTCTGATAAGTGTCATGATATGTGTTTCCTCAAAATGGTGCTGCATGAAGGGGATGACTAATATCCTGGTCAGAATGAAGGCAACATTTTAAAAGTCCTCCACACACCATCGATATACTCATTTCTAATAGGTGAATGGACATGGTCACCATTTCTAAGGCCTGTTGCTCTAGTGTAGTGGTCAAGAATGTGCACTCTGGTCAGATAGGCCTTGGTTTGAATCCCAGTCCCTTCATTTACTATTTATGTGACCAGAGCTAGCCTCTCAAAGTCTCAGTTTTGTCATCTGTAAAATGGCTATGTGATGGTTTCTCTTCTCATAGGGTTGCTATGAGGATTAAAGTAATAAATGTAATAGTATACATAGCATAGATGCCCTGTGCATAGTAAGCCCTTAAAATCTATTATTAGTCTTATTATCTCTGCTCCCAGAACCTTCTAGCAGCTGAAGCCTCTGTTTTTGGGATCTTACCATCCTCATTATACATCTTACCTGATGGAGACTATTTCTTTACCCCCTCCCCTCCCTTGACTATATAGAGCATTTGATGACCCTTACATTAATTTCCGTCTCCACGATCCTCCCCATATGTGAATCAGTGTCTAAGTCCTATCAGCTCGTCACTGTGAAACGTCCCCTTGGGCCTAAGGGACAGTCCAGCTGGGAGGCCTCCCTCCTTATCGTTGATGACCTCGCTGTGAACCTTACTGAGGCACTGAGGAGAAATGTAAAAAGTTCAGACAAGTTGTTATTTGTCATCCCCCTTCCCCCCAAAGTTAATGGAATTTAACGCACACTCTAAAACACAGAACTGAGTCAAAACCCTTTTTGTCTATAGCATAGAGTGAACGTTTCACTGGGCTGGAGAGCCTGGCCAAAGAAACCTCCCAGGAGGCCAGCTGGAATGTCTGTGGTGGGTCGGGTCTTTCAGCGTGAGAGGAGGTTAGACTAGGGGACAGGGAACCGTCAGTGTGGCCTGAGGCGCCATGGTGACCCCAGGCTATGTCCACAGCTGCTCCAGGCTGAAAGTTTCCTCAGTTGCTACAGGGAACCCTGGCAGAGCAGTGCCCCATGAACAGCCAGCCAGTCGTTCTCACTTGGCAACTGGCACACTGCTTTCCATAGCAACAGGACTCCCCACTCTGTCCTCTCTGAGCCCCATCTCAGAAGCTTTTTGGCGTGGATATCAAGACCCGGGTGTGTAGTCTTTTCAGAAAGGATGAATCATCTGCATACTTTATCCAAATAGAATTGGGCTTTCTGAGCCCAAAGCTCTCATGCGATGCAAATAGTGATGCCGAAGGCAAGGATGTCAGGGTGTTAGAGAGGTTGGCTCTGCTCCCAAAGCAGGAATGCTGAGTCAGTTGATGGAGGCAGATTTTGATGAGTGCTGTGAATTACTGGTTTGGCATGGGATGTGGAATGGCTTTATACCAAATCATTGGTGGGGGGAAAGGGTTGATATCAGCAGAGACCCCAACTTGCTTTAGAAAGAGGGGCGGTGTCTGTTAGCTCCTTCTCAGAGATCTGGAGAGCTTGTGGAATATGACAAAAACCTCCTGAGGAGGGTGAAACTGATAAGCTGTCCCCTAAAGGGCGGGGGAGGATCATTCTTTCTCAATGATGACTGTCCTGCCCATCAGGAGCGGATAAAGACTATTTCTCAGGTAGGACAACAGAAGTGAGGGATCTGGGATAGGGTGATCTTCAGGTGGCTGGGAGTGAAATATCTGCAAATGGAGTGAAGATAGTTTTCCTTTCTGATTACTCCAGAAGAGGACAACACTGACTGGATGGTGGAAGATAGTTGCCTTTTGTACGGAGGCTGGCTGGAGAAGGAAGAGAACAGTGCTGGAGAGCTCTGCAGGCTGATGAGTTACTGGGGGAGCTCAAACTTACTTTGGGAATCTGACCATTGATATAGGTCAGTGATGGCGAACCTATGACACGCGTGTCAGAGGTGACATGCGAACTCATTTTTTTGGTTGATTTTTCTTTGTTAAATGGCATTTAAATATATAAAATAAATATCAAAAATATAAGTCTTTGTTTTACTATGGTTGCAAATATCAAAAAATTTCTATATGTGACATGGCACCAGAGTTAAGTTAGGGTTTTTCAAAATGCTGACACGCCGAGCTCAAAAGGTTCGCCATCACTGATATAGGTCTTTTTTCTGTTTTGTTTTTGTTAATCCTCACCCAAGGATATTTTTTCCATTGATTTTTTTTTTGAGAGAGAGAGAGAGAGAGAGAGAGAAACATTGATGTGAGAGAGACATCTTGATGGGTTGCCTCCTGCACACTGACCGGGGTCGGGATCAAACCTACAACCCAGGTACATGCCCTGACCAGGAATTGAAACTGCAACCCTTTGGTGTATGGGCCAATGCTCCAACCACTGAGCACACTGTCCAGGGCTTGCTTGTTTTTTATTCCTCATCCGAGGATATGTTTTTATTGAGAGAGAGAGAGAGAGAAGAGAGAAACATTGATCAGTTGCCTCCAGGGATTGAATCCACAACCTAGGTATGTGGGTATGTGCCTTGACTAGGAATCCAACCAACAGCTTTTTGGTATACAGGACAACACTCAACCAACCGAGCCACCCAGTCAGGGCAATGTGGGTCTTATTATTGCCTGGATTATTTCCGTTTCTTTATGTGTTTATAACAACTAAAGAGAAGGATGAATTGATCTCTGCAGTTTTTATATGAGAAGATACAGTTAGTCTCTGATTTGAGCAGATGGATGAGATTCCTAATTTCCATCTTTATGTTTGCCTGGAGGTTTTTTACAGGAAAGGATCATTGATGTGGGCTTGAAACATGGTGCCTATGAATGGGATGTACACTCTGCGGGCCATGGAAAGAACTTTCCTCTGACAGCTGGAGACAGCCTTCTGTGTGGGTGAGTGGGGACATAATCCCTTTTATCCTGGTTGTGGTTTTCCTAATTACCTCTTTAGCAATGCTGTTCATGACTGCCACAGGTGTCAGACTTTGTATGGGCAAATGATGAGAGCGGACCAAGATCCTTGGTCATTCCTGATCCGTGTGGCTGGACCTTCAATACCGAGAGGTCTTCTTCTCCATTGCAGTTCCTGGTGCTGGGGATGGGAGGTATTTGTTTATTTCTGAAAAAAGTCCAGAAACCAGTCAGGAAAGGCAGCCCCTCTTTTCAAATCCAAAAAAGAAGCTGCAGTGAAAGAACTGGGGTGGGGATTTGTCATTGCTTTGGAAAATTGTCCTTTACATTTACAAGTCACAGGAAGTTGGCAGAGAAGAAACAGCTGGATTCTTGTCATCACCTTAGCTCTTGGCATATTATCTCAAGATACAATGCACTACTCTACACTTGGAAAGCGTGTAGAAACATGGGAAGTGTGTGATAGTGGGAGCGGAACACTGGGGTTTTAGACTGCCCCGACCAGCTGTGGAACCCTGGGGAAGTTGCTTTGGCTCTCTGGGTCTCTCCAGTTTTCTCCTCCGTTGGTGGGGGTAGGGAGAGTGGATGGACAGGGATTAGGTGGTCTCTCTTCTATGACTCACTGGCCATAGCATGACCACGTGTCATACACACACAGCCAAAGATGTTGATTGCTCTCAGCAGCATTGCATTCTCCCCTCCCCTGCTTCCCCAGCGGGTTATCTTGCTGACTCGACTAACACAAACCCCATCTGGACACAGTCCAAACGCCAGATGTGCCCCCGATTAGTGTCGGTCTGGGGAATGTTTCCATGACTGAAAGGTCAGTGTCAGCTGGAAGTGCCCCGAGTGGGCGTCTGCCCCCCGCCCATGTCAGCTGTTAGAGTTGAACCTTCTATTATCTCACCGGCCAAGGAACTTAGGTGGGGTTGCGTGGGGGTGGGGGCTGGCCAAGTTCAGGAGGGCCTTGTTTTACTCACCTTCCTTCTTTGCTCTCTGCTGAAGGGCAGAGTGTGATTTTGCACTTGGAAGAGACCCCAGGGGTGTGCAGAGAGGAAAGTCCTGCTGGTGTGTAACTGAAAACACTTTGTTCCCCTTTAGATCTGCAATGTGCTCATGTCTCTTCTGATTTTCTTATGGCGGCCGTCACCTCCACTATGGAAAGAAAAATGAACAGTAATGTTGTGATGGGCCGGGCTGCCATGTTTTACCCTATTTACAGGTCATTTTAAGTATCGCTTCTACACTTCAGACAGGCTTTCATGTTTAATTTCACTCGTGTAGGGCTATGCTAGGCTTTCCTCTAGGTAGCAATGAAAATTAAACACAATTGAGTTTGATGTGTACCTTATTGATTCCAGACCCATTTCAGTAGACTGTGACACTTCAGCGACCTGCAAATTCTACACATTAGAGTTCATATTTTATACAAACGCCGTACATCCAGGACATGGATTCGAATTTCTATCAGAAACATCCAACTCCTAACAGAAGACACAGGGCAGAAGATGATAGTGACTGAAGAAGATGCATTGTAGATGATATTTATGGTCATCCCCTATGAAAAAAAAATTCGTGAATAATTTCATGGAAGTCACACCCAAGAGGGAGTCATAATTCCCTCAATTCCACATTGTTCTTTGGGTTCTCTGTAGCCTGCTTCTTCTCCCACAAGTCACCACAACTTCATTTCCAAAGGATGGTTGTAGGAGAGGGGAGAGGTTGTGTGATAGCCTGGCTTGGGAACTACCAAGTAGTATAAACTGCTCGGCACTTTTGATTGATTATGTCCTGTCGAAGCAGAGTGTGTGACTCTGGCCCACGGTTCCTCTGGCAGAGGCATCGAAGGCTACTTGAGCAAAGGGAACAATTGGTAACAGAGCAAAGCGGGGTAGGCGGGTTCTGACCAGTCATTGGTCTCAGGGATTGTGTCAATCTCTCTTTTGCAACTGAGCTGGGAATTAGAGGCATTATTCAGGCCGAAGTGGGAAAAGGGGAATTTTTACTAGAGGGCATGGCCTTCTGAGGCAAGGGAAGAAAGTTCCCAGCTGGGGCAGGGAACAGAGGGAAGTCAGAACAGCTTGTGGAGAGTGGTATTCCCCTCGGGGGGTCACAGGGCCATTTGTAAAATGACGCCTAGATGTTGGTGTACAGCCAAGGCTGCACATTAGCATCACCTGGGGGGAGCTTTTACAATCCCTGATGCCCAGGCCCCACCTCAGACCAATTACATCAGAATCTCTGGGGTGGGACTAGTTTTCAGGGCTCCCAAGGTGATTCCAATGTACAGGCAGGCTTGAAGCCCCCTGATCTATGACTTTCTAATCAAAATATGGCCCAAGGACTAGCACCGTATCAACTGGGACTTGTTAGACATGCAGAATCTCAGGCCCCACCCCAGACCTACTGCGTCAGCACCTGCGTTGTAGCAAGGTCCCTGGGAGATTTTTTTTTTTTTTTATCCTCGCCCAAGGACATTTTTCCACTGATTTTTAGAAAGGGTGGAAGAGAGAGGGAAAGACATAGAGAAATATCGATGTGAGAGAAACACATCGATTGGTTGCCTCCTGCACACGCCCTGACCAGGGCCCGGGCCTGGGAGGAGTCTGCAACCAAGGTATGTGCCCTTGACCGGAATTGAACCTGGGACCCTTGGGTGTGCAAGCCGATGCTCTATCCACTAAGCAAAACCGGCTAGGGCACTGGGAGATTTTAAGTCTATTAAAGTGTGAGGAGCTATGATTCTCAAACTTTGCTGCACATTAAAATCACCGAGGGAGCTTTTGAAAATCCCAATGCCCAGGAAGCACCTTGTATCAATTAAATCAGAATTTCTGAGGGTGGGATGCAAACACCAATAGTTTTTTTTTTATTGGTTCTCAGGTGATTCTGATGTGCATGGTTTCTCAACCCTGGCTGCATATTAGAATTTCCTGGGGAACTTTTAAATGCCCTACTCTCAGAAATTCTGATTTAATTGGCCTGAATAGGCAGCAAAAAGCTTCCTAGGTGATTTCAGTATAGAGCCAGGGAGAGCCCCTGTACCAGAATGTTGGCCCAACTCACCGAAGGAACAGCCAGCTTAAAAGCCTTGCTCCAAGTCAATGGGTCCAAGAACACCTAAAGGAAAGGAATGACCAGACCATGTCTAGACTTATCTGTCTCAGGGCTCTTTGATATTTGATCTCCTTACATGTGACAATTACTATACTCTTTTATGAATTCAAATATTTGTGTGCCTCTTTACTTTTCTAATAAAGTCCCTTTTGAAAATTCAACCTCAACTTAACTGAAATAAGGGGCAAAAGCATTGGTCACATCTGGACCACAGGAGCTGGGAGCAGCTGAGGGATCAGATGAGATGGAGGCAAGAGGGGTCAAGACAGAGAGCTCGACTGAGCCAGGGATTGTGATTTTTTTGTCCCTTTGACGCTGTGGTACTCTCTCACCATTGCCAACATGACTGTGATTCAGGTAGTGCTATAGAAGGTTGCTGGATTTAGCAAATAACACAAGGGTGCTAAGTAAAAATTGAATTTCATATAAACAATGAGCTGTTTTTAATATAAGTATGTCCCATGCAATATTTGGGATGTACTTACAGTAGAAAATTAGTTGTTGTTTATCTGAAATTCAATTTTAACTGGCTATCCTATGTTTTATTTGACAACTCTAAATTCTCAGTGTTAGGAAATCTGCTCTGAGATTTTCTCCAGGGCTTCAGTAGGGCCCTGCCATCTGATGTGAGGTCCTTGAGTGTTTGTTTGAACCCTGTCCCTGGGAGGTGCACCACCCTGGGTTCTACAGGGGTTGCTCAATACCCCCAACCTAGCACTGGCAGGGGTCTGTGGGGGGATTGCCTGTGGATAAAACCCTTGCACTTCACCTCTTCCAGCTCTCCTGCAGTCCTTGGTGTTGAGATGATTCCTGGGTGTTCCTCAGAAGTACCCTCTTCTCTCACTGTCTCTTGCTCAGTTTAGGCTGCATGTGTCCAAGAGGAAGGGAGCTGAAAGGCCTTGATGGGCAGGAGGCGACAGTGTTGAGCCGATGGTGACTCAGACATATGTAGGGAAAGGGGGGTAGAGAGGAAAGCATGGTTCATAGTTGCAGCCGTGGCATGTCCCCGAAGCGGCTGTTCAGTGTCTGAGCTTGGTGTCTGGCTTTCTGCAGAGCCTGTTCCACCGAAACGTGTTCAGAGTCAAAAGTGCAGTTTCCTGTTCATTCAGCTCCAAACAGCTCGTCCCCTGCTGACTTCAGAGTGTGTGGGGCCTTGAGGGAGGGCAGAAGGAGGCAGAGTGGGAAAAGCCAGCTGCCAGCAAGAGGCACAGACACATGAGAGATGTGCAGAAGGGGTGCAGATGGAGGGTGGAGAGGGGGAGAGAGAGAGGCAGAGGGTGGGGGAAGACAGAGAGGGAGGCGGAGGATAGAGAGAGGCGAGCATGTAGAAGGGAGGAATGGAGGCAGAGGCCTGATTAGGGAGCTGGAGATGTCAGAGACGCTCAGGATGATCAGGAGGGGGACCCTTTGCTCGTCCCTCTAGCTTGGCCCACTGAAGATCTAAGCTGGTGCCGGTCTCTTCCCTGAAGCAGTCTCTCACCCAGTTAGCCTCAAGGAAAGCCCAGAAGGGCTTGTGCAGGCTGAAGAATAGGCTGAGCCGAATCCCGAGGCCATGCTCATTTTCTCTGGGTGCCCAGAAGGTGAGTGCCCCCTTCATGGGGCCATGTGCTGGGCAGACCCCGTAGGCACAGCAGAGGCTGGAGAGCTGGCACGCCCCCCACAAGAACACACACTCACAATATCTACTGCGGGAAGTCCTCCCCCTCTCCTTCCTGATACCATTGTCTTCCCAGAATAATAAATCACCGCAGCTTAATAAAGGTCACGGACTTGGTTTTGTGTTTCTTCTGGGATTCAAGTCTCAGGAAATCCAAGCTCTTCTCTCTCTCCTTCTGTTTTCTGTTCTCTCTTGCCTCCTTCCTGAT